CAAACAAACAATGATTTAATGTAAGTACTTGGATTGTTGTTGTTATTTGAAGTTAAGCACAAAGCTACACAATGGGCTATCTGTGCTCTGCCCCCCACGAGTATCGAAACCCAATTTATAGCGTAGTAAGTCCGCAAACATACCGCTGTGCCACTGTGGGGGAGGTCTAAGGTTTTGTTTAATGTGTTTATTTTAGAAAAATGCTACATTGGGCTATCTTTTGTGTCCACAGAGAGGAATCGAACCCCGGATTTTAGCGTTGTAAGTCCGGAACTTACCGCTATCCCAACGGGGGACAAATAAGTGGGACATGAAACGTCGTCCTAGTACAAAGAAAAATAAGAGATATAAACATTTATTGTACTAAAATATTTATAAATATGTATGCATCCATTAGTTGTAAAGCACTCTACATTACTAGAAGTTATAGACTGCTGATACGAGAGCAATATATATTATTCAATCACAGCAAACCTCATGAGGAGACAACAGAAATTTCTTGCAATAAATAAATTATAAACGAGTCATACACTTCTTTGTAAGCACACGGAGAGTCTTAGTTTTAGGTATTTCCCTTTGGTTTCCTATATCAGAGCAAAAATATTGCATATACAGATATTTAAAACCTTCTTATACCTTTCTGTGTCTTATCTTTTTGAAGTTGGGAAATAAAATCCACATATTAAATTATTTAATACAGGTTCCTCAATTTTTGAGTTAGAAATCCCAGGATGTTCGTGGAGAGATCTCAAGAGAGTCGCGAATGGTAAGTTGCATTACAATTTTCCATTTTTTTAAAACTTGAACATAAACTGTCTGTGTAGAAGTGTATTATCTTAGTAAGAAATATACCCAGTTTATTTTTCATCGATGTCTGAAAATTGGAGGGAGGAGGAGGGGGACACGATTTATTCAGATCCATGAAAGGGTTGTCCCAGTCTTAAAAAAGGGTTGATAGCCCCTGATTTAGAACAGACATGAAGAGTAGTACTCCGATCTCAATTATTATTTAGATAACGAAGTATAAACCAGAAAAACCTGCAAAACTTGGTTAAGTGGGACCTTGCTGGCTTGCCTCCCATCTCTCTCTCTTTACACTTGCTATTTGAACTGACCCAGTGTCCTTGATTTTTCAGAGTGCCAATGGCGATAACGTCGCATAATATATTTTTTTTCTGACAATATTAATTTTTTTACTTGTACATTAATGTTTTGCAATATCCCTGACCTAAAGCAATGTATCTTTAGTTAATTGTTAACCTCGTTTTAAAATAGTATAATCTTTGGTAAGTGTCATCTATTTATCGTTATTATTTTAGAAGTAACATATCCTTCTATATCATTAGAAGGAGAGTATTCTTAATAGATTGGATTATATTGTTTGTTTGAATTTATGCACAAAGCTACACAATGGGTTATCTGTGCTCTGTCCA